TTAGAGCTTATCTCAAAAGTTTTACTAGAAGAGGTTATTTTGATGCCCAAATATCCTACAATTGATCATCTCGACATCAAGATGCATGAACATGAGAAAAAAATGGATTTCAATTTTTTGAAATAGCGCATATTGTAACGCATTTTTGGACCATCAATTATCGAGATTTCATAGATCTGCTCGTTCTACACTATTTTTTAAACTTATAATTAAAGATGAAAATATATTTTAAGACTACCACAAAGATTTCCAGCATTGAAACATTATTTCTCGACACTATTTGAAGGTGGGCTCTAATCTGATTGTTTAGAGCCTCGGCTCTATATAGATATTATACATCTCTACAACTTGAAGTCCAAATTACTTTTTTGAAATATTATTTGGTCCCCTCAAAGCATTTTTAGTGAAATTATGCTTTTTTTTTTTTATCTTCTGAGTAGTTTAGTGGGGATGAGTCCCTTACTTATGATAAAAATGAAACTCAAGATATTATGTTATAGCGCTCCGCCACCCTAACCACCCAGCCTTGTGCCCATTTCTAATACCCACTGAAATTCTGGATTCGAAATGTCTATCATTACACTACTGGTGTATTGTATACCTAGCAATTCATCTTCTGCATAATATAAGTGGTTAAGAAACAATTATGAAATTCGTTATAACAGGTTTTGATGATCGGGCAGGGGCTAGTTGGAATCAAAATACGGGGAAACTTGTGAACACAAAATTATACACAATTTTTTAAATAACTGAAATGAGATGTTCCTTCAAGAATTACAGCTATAATAGGCGTCATGACAAATGCATAATCAGTAAATATATAACGCTCAAGCAGATAAACATTCATCTCAATCATATTTTTAGGTTATAGGCAACATACCCAATGTTTTTGCAAGAATCATGTCTTGAACTCCCCAAAATAATTGCTTCAACCAAGAGCTACTGAAATCAAAGCCATATAAGCTAGAAATGCCTAAAAAGAAACAGAGCACTCAAATGTAAATGTGAACAACAATCAAGTATATTTTGATTTCCATGAGAGAAACTTAAGTACAAAGTTACAGACCGTTACATAAAAACCCGATACCACTATCAATCTGCAATTATTTCATCATGGCTCTTTTGTAACTAACTCGAGCTGATAAAAGAACTTGGGCTTGGGGGACGCGGTATGTCCACCGTGCCTTCAAGCATCAAAACCACCTTCTTCATTGAGGGCCTCAATGCAGGGTCATCTTGCACACACCATAAACCCACCATCACCATTCTCTCCAGCCTCTTATTCTCAACACCCTCAGTCTCAGCCACTCTTTCCAATTTCTCCAATTCCCCAGCTTCAAAGCAGTTATAAACCCAATCAATCAATACGACTTCATCCTCGGGAGCTCCTGACTCTATAGCTTTTCGGCAACATATGATCTCCACTAACATGATCCCAAAACTATACACATCCGCCTTGACGGTTATCGACTGATTCTTGTACCATTCAGGAGCAACATATCCCCTAGTGCCACGAACCCCAGTGTAAGTCCTTGTTTGTTCGGGTTTCAAAATCTTTGCAAGACCAAAATCCGATATCTTGGCAGTTTGAAAGTCATCAAGAAGTATGTTTTGGGGCTTTATGTCACAGTGGATGATTTGGGTCACACACTCTTCATGCAAATATAATAGCCCTCGAGCTATGTCCAGAGTAATACCAACCCTTTGGAACCAATCGGGTCGGGACTCTGTTTTGAAGAGATGGCTAGCAAGTGACCCATTGCTCATGAACTCATAAACCAAGAACCTGTGAGAGCCTTCATTACAGTAACCGAATAATCGAACAAGGTTTCTATGATGGGTTTTTCCAATCACATTCATCTCTGTTTGGAACTCTCTTTCTCCCTCTTCAATCACCTTCTCGAGCTTTTTGACAGCAACTTTTGTGTTGCAAGGGAGAGAGCCTAAGTACACAGTTCCAAAAGCGCCTTGACCAAGCTCTTGATTGAACCTGTGAGTTGCTTTTTCTAACTCTGAGTAGCTAAAGGACCTAAGGTTCACCTCATTTGGGGCATTTTTAACCTGTTTCATGAGCTTCTGGTAGTGCCTTCCAACACGTGAATTATAGTAAAGAAAGCTAGAAATCAATACAAGGATTATGGAGAATGCCATTAGGATCAGCCCAATAATTAGTAGAATTTTTTGATGCTCACCTTTGTTTCTGCCATTGATTCCTGCTGAAGAATTTTGTCCTGCTGTTTTGATGAAAGCTTTCACTGAACTTCCAGTTATCCTTTTCATATACCTTAAAGGCAGAGGCTGTTTCTTGCATTGATTGTTTTCGAACAGAATGGCCATGCAAGCCCTATCATCCAAGCAAGCTTGCTCGCATTCTTCTTCACTTGCTGATAAGATATCGAAAGCATTATCTGCCCAATTTATATTCTCCATTGGAAACATCATACAGCCCTGAATTCCTTCTTTTACTCTGCAGTCATCCTCTCCAGTGAAGTTCCTTTGACAACCCTGAGAATTCCCATTTGGGTCGATAAGTACAAAACCAGGGGGACATAAGCAGGTTGGAGTAACATCCATTAGAGTACAGTAGCTATTAAACCCACACAGCCCATAAACCTCACATGGGTCATTAGCAGCAGACCATACAAGGGAGCTGCCATTTCCCTCCAAATTTTGCAAAAACAGTTCGAAATTACCACCTGGTTCAAGCCTTGCTCTATAAATAGACCTTCGATCTTGCGAATTTGTGATATTCTTTATGTTGGAACCAGTTGAATCAAGCAGATACATATGGCCATCTTGGGCTAAATTCAGAGTCACAGCGTCCCCTTTTCCCTGTGTTCGCGTAAACCAGTATGCGTTGGCTGGTGTGAGTATCGTCCTTGCTCCATCCACAAGATAGTAGAGAACAAGATTTCCATCAGTTTGCATTATCAGTTGGTATTTTCCGGTTGAGTGATTAGTTTCCGAGACACTAGAGCTGAGTTTGGTACTCAGCGTCTGTCCTGATAAAATGGTGTCCGTTGGGGAATCGAAGCTTTCCCATATTGCCCGAGAATCAGAATTGTATAAAACGAAATTACCATCATCGAGCATGGAAGCCGAAGAGGCCGGTAATGAGTTAAGGTGTATGGGTTCTAATTGGGCTTGACTGTTATTTAGGATGAGTCCACCATTCCTGGATAGAGTGACAAAAGAACCAACTGAAAAGGGAGGACCATTTCTGTTTGCACTCCAAACCAGGACTTTTTCCAGTGTTTTCGGCATCCAAATTCCTACTAAGAATTGTTGGGGGTCTTTGAGAGGATAGAAGCCGAAGGCAAAGTTACCAGAAGGTGAGAGCCAGTAACTGAGGCCTCTACCATTTGGGGTGGGGGAGAGAGAAGAACCCAAGCTTATGTTTTGTGATTGGGCTGATGAGAAAGAAATTGTGATTAAGCAAAGTAGCAGCATCAGAACGGATTACATTAATGGAGTAGAAATGCAGCCAAGAATGTTGTTTCCTGTGTAAAGCTTGATCATGGAGAAAGTTGTGAGGGAATGAATAAGAGTGAAGGTAGAGGGATCTTCTATGTCAATACACTTGAATAGCTGATGATCTTAAATGCCAAGAAAAAGGTTTTGAGGCCAAAAACGTGTGGTTTGGAGTCAATAGTCAATACCTCAAAGCCTTGCCGTGTGGAGTTGGCTCAGTAAGGAGAGAAGTGGGTCTATTCTGAATGCATGAATCCACTAGTACGTGTTCTAGGGGTGGCAACGAGTTAGGTCGAACCCAGACCCGACAAATACTATAGGACCTGGATTCGGACTCGAAAATATAATGTGGGATCGGTCCCGGGACCTGACCCAAAAATCAAAATAGTTATGTATTTAAATATATTTAAATATATTTCATAAATTTGTTCAATATATACATTCATTATTTTAAATATGCGGTTTATATAGAGCTAAGGCTCTAAACAATCAAAATAAAGCGCATCTTCAAATAGTATCAAGAAATGTGGTTTCAATACTGGAAATCGTTGTGATAGCATTAAAATATATTTTCACATTAATTATAAAATTTAAAGCTTCAAAAATAATGTAGATCTAGCTGATCTATGAAAATCTTGAAAATTTACGATCCAAAAATACATTACAAGATGTACTATTTCCAAAACTTGAAATCCATATTTTTCTCATACCCATGCATCTTGATGTTGAGACGATTAATTTGAGGATATTTGGATATCAAAACAACCTCTTCTAGTGAAGTATTTTAGGTGCGCTCTAATTTGATTGTTTAGAGCCTCGGTTATATGTAAACTTTTTCCTTTAATTAAATAAATATAACTATATTTAAATATCAATAATATTCGGGTTGGGTTGGGTCTTCATTTACCCGGACTCGAACCCGAATAGTGTTTGGGTCCATTGCCATCCCTAAGACGTTCTCTAGGTGAAACCTCAAATTATGTTCTCACTCTTCATAATGAGAAAATTTTCAAATACATCTAAATTTTCAATAATATAATGATTTATCTTTTTTTAACTATTCTAACTCGAAGCCATGTGTATTTTGATAGGTATTTTGGAATTAAGTAAAGAAAATGAGTAAAATGTTAAATTGTTGATCTTTCATGTATATTTTGTTAAATTTCCTTTTTATTTTAGTTTGCAACATTCTTTATAGAAATAAGATTAGGATGTTCTACATCGTCTTTTTTAATTAGAGGATTAGATATGATACATCTTTTAAAAATGGGTCAAGAGGTAGCACACCTTTTTAATAATATAAAATTTACACCATCCAAATAAAATAAATGGTGGAGATTAGTGCAATCTCTATAAATAACTCTTTTCATATGTGTAAAGAAATTCACATGTTGGGTAAATGGTCTTTTGGCACCAAATTCTACAATTGGTACCATGGTCAGATTTGTTTGACTCCAACACTTTTAATCATTTATGTTCAAAAAATAAAAAGATATAAACGGAACCCAAAAAAAATTCTCAAAAAAAATAAAAAGATCTAAATGGAACCCAGAATTTGAACCGCTCATCCCGTACATCTAATCCATTTGGGCTAAAAGCCGGTTTAAAAAATAAGAAAACATAAAATTAAGGGGAATTCAGATAAGAGGGACTTGGATCACCCACCCAACGAATCGATCTGGTTTGGCAATGGCAGCGTTTTAAAATCCTTTTGAGCCCGGAAAAATGTATAATGTGCGTGGACGAAGCACTCAAGAAACAACATTATAGAATTAAATTTCGGATTTGGAAAGTGCGACATATATATCGTACACGGTTCATTTACCATGAGACATTCACCATTTGTTCCGGAAAATTGATGGTGGAGATTAATCACATGCCCAAGTACTATTAATTTTTACTATTGATCGATATATTAATTTTTATTATTGAAAGGAAAATAGTGGTGGAAGTTCACACTTTAGATGGGTTTCAGAAATTTCACTCATGAGTGTTTCATTTTCTGAATGGAAAAGTATATTATCCACTACTTGGGCATGGTAGGGCTAGCCTGGCAGGCCTCTTCGGCTTGGTTTGTGTCAGGTTGGGCTGCGGCCGGTCGTATTTGGACCTGGGCCAGGTTGGCTTGGCCCCGGCCCGACCCATTACCAGCCCTAGTGCACGGTACATAGGTATCCTTCCTCCATCTATCATCATGGATGGTAGAGATGACTGTAGCTGGTGAATGCCCATCATAGGGAACTAATCTGAATTTCATGGCTCACAATTAGGAATGGACAACCGATGTCTTGGCTGACCATTTGCGATGATCAAATGCCTGTTGTATACTTTCACTGTAACACAAAAACTCAAACACAACCACAATAATTATCTCAAATTTTTACCATACATTGTGGTGGTAAGCAGAATGCCTTCCTATGGAACAAGTAACTATAGTCCTAATATTTCTTGCGATCTCCAGAGAAATTACATTTTTTGTTACACTCGTGAAATTAAGTGGTTGGGTGTATATTACTAGCTATACACAAAGTTCAAAATAAAATTTTTTGAATGCTGTAACACACTTCAATCCATTCGATTTCATATTCAATAGTGAATGATTGAGACATCTTTGTACCAAAAGTAAATAGTCATAGTATGACTTTCGTTTTTATATATTTCATGGTACTAATTATTTTCATCACTTCAGCCATTTTAATTAACAAAATTTTAATTGAATACTTTCTTTACTCTTGGTGATTGGTCTAGTCCAAATTTTTTTACAAAAATACCACGGCATTTTGGAAGTTAATGTCCTGAAATTTTATTTGTAGAGTGTCATTGTATTTTAATCAAAATTTCAACTTTACCCTATATGGAAAACACGATAGTACGCATTGCCTTGTAGTAATATTTACAAAATTACCTATACTTACTGATGACGAGACCACAAAAAGTAATTTTTTAAAACAATAGACTACAAAGTTAGTAAATCTACCGTTCACAACCCTCTTTATCTTTTAACCTTTGTAATTTGAAGAGTTGTGAAGTTTAGATTATTCCATATATGTATATATATATGGAATATATTACAAAACGTCTATAGGTGAAAATGAACAGCGATTTTGTTAACCCTCATCACCGTCCAAAGTTCATCATACGGTCACGATTATATGGTAGTGTTTCATTTTTTACTTTTTTTTTTTACAAATCCAAATGATCTGAAATTTGGAGTGTGTGTTCATCAAAAATAGAAAAATCTGCGAAAAATATCAAAAAAATATTTTACATGAAATAAATTGACCAAAATACCTCTAAAATGTTTCAGGGGTATTTTCATCAATTTAGTTTTTACGAATTATTTTTTTTATATTTTTATTAGGTGTGCCTCACTAAGAAGCACACACACTTCAAATTTCAGATCATTCTGATTTGTAAAAATAAAATGAAAAATGACATACTACCAGACAATCATGACAATGTGATGAACTTTGAACGGTGATGAGAGTAGGCAAAATCACTGTTCATTTTCACTTATAGGTGTTGGGAAGACTTTTCTTT